ATATTGAAAGATTCTATGGACAAAATATTGAATGATGCAGGAAGCATCAAATGAAGATGGAAGGAATACACAGAGTCACTGTACCAAAAAGAAGTGGTCGATGTTCATCCATTTCAGGAGGTGGCATATGATCAAGAACCAATGGTATTGAAGGAAGAAGTCAAAGCTGCACTGAAGGAATTGGCAAACAAGGCTCCGGGAATTGACGGGATACCCATTGAGATGTTTCAACAAACAGATGCTGCACTGGAGGCACTCACTCAGTTATGCCAAGAGATTTGGAAGACAGCTACCTGGCCAACTGACTGGAAGAGATTCATATTTGTGCCCATTATGAAGAGAGGTGATCCCATAGAATGTGGAAATTATTGAACAATATCATTAATTTCACACACAAGTAAAATTTTATTAAAGATAATTCAAAAACGGTTGCAATAGTGTATTGACAGAATTTCCAGAGGTGCAGGCTAGATTCAGAAGAGGATGTGGAACAAGGGATATTTGCTGAAGTCAGATGGATCTTGGTTCAATGCAAAGAATACCAGAAAGATGTTTACTTGTGTTTTATTGACTATGCAAAAGCATTTGATCGTGTGGATCATAACAAATTGTGGATAACATTAAGAAGAACTGGAATGCCAGAACACTTAATTGTACTCGTGAGGAACCTGTACATAGACCAGGATGCTGTCGTTCGAACATAACAAGGAGACACTGCATGGTTTAAAATCAAGAAGGGAGTGCATCAGGGTTGTATCCTTTCACTATACTTAGTCAATCTGTATGCTGAGCAAATAATCCAAGAAGCTGGACTATAAAAGAAGAACGTGGCATCAGGATTGGAGGAAGAATCATTAACAACCTGCCATATGCTGACGACACAACTTTAATTGCTGAAAGTGAGGATGACTTGAAGCACTTACTGATGAAGATTGAAGACTACAATCTGAAGTATGGATTACATCTCAATATAAAGAAAACAAAAATTCTCACAACTGGACCTGTAAGCAGCATCACAATGAATAGAGAAAAGATTGAAGTTGTCAAAGACTTCATATTGCTTGGTTCTACAATCAATGCCAATGGAAGCATCAGTCAGGATATGCGATGATGTACAGCACTGGGCAAATCAGCTGCAAAGGACCTCTTTCAAGTGCTGAGGAACAAAGATGTCTCCTTGAGGACTAAGGTGCGCCTGACACAAGCCATGATATTTTCAGTCGCCTCATATGCATGTGAGAGCTAGACAATGAATAAAGAAGACTGAAGAAGAATTGATGCTTTTGAGATGTGGTGCTGGAGAAGAATGCTGAAAGTACCATGGACTGCTAAAAGAACTAACATCTGCCCAGGAGGAAGTGCAGACAGAATGCTCCTTGGAGACGAGAATGGCCAGACTTCGTCTCACCTACTTTGATCTTGTTGTCAGAAGGGACCATTCCCTGGAGAAGGATGTCATGCTTGGTAAGGTGGAGGGTGGACAAAGGAGGGAAGGCCCTCATTGAGATGGATTGACACAGTGGCTGCCACAATGTGCTCAAGTATAGCAGGGATCACAGAGCTGGTGCAGGACCAGGTAGTGTTTCATTCTGCTATGAATAGAGTCGCTATGAGTCAGAGACGACTTGACGGCACCTAACCACAACAACATATGCCTGTAAAAGCTGGATAATGAATAAGGAAGATGGAAGAATTGATGCATTTGAATTGTGGTGTTGGTAAGACTACTGAAAAAGACATGGACTGCCAGAAGAATGAACAAATCTGTCTTGGAAGAAGTACAGCCAGAGTGCTCCTTAGAAGGAAGAATGGCCAGACTTCATCTCACCTACTTTGGTCATGTAGTCAGAAGGGACCATTCCCTAGAGAAGGATATCATGGTTGGTAAAGTAGAACCAAAAACCAAACTCACTGTCATCAAGTTGGATCCTACTCATAGCAACTCCTCCTTGGGTTTCCAAGGCGGTATCACTATGGAGGTTGATTGCCCAACCTTCTTTCTGAGGAGTGGCTGGTAGGTTTGAACCGCCAGCCTTCTGGTTCACAGTCAAATGCCTTAGGCATTATGCCACCAGAGCTCCTTGGTAAAGTAGAGGGTGAGCTTTTTGAGGACCCTCAGTGGCTGCAATGATGGGTGTGATAGTTGGAGCTGTGTGTCAACTTGACTGGACCACAATTCTGTGTGGTTTAAGCAATTGTGGGTTGTTCCCATGATGAGATCAGATGTATATGTTTCGAGCAGCCAATCCATTGAAAGGGAGTTTTCTTAGGGGTGTGGCCTGCTTCCAGTATATTTATGGACATCCTGGAAAAAGAGACACTCTTCTGTGGATCGGGATTCTGTTGTGCAGCTTACAATTGTCCATGAGCAAACAATCCACCATTCAGCCTGGAGATCTTGTATTCGTCATTCGTTGGAGTCAACAGCCAGTATACTGCCTGCAAACAAACCTTGAGCTCCTCAGCTCCTGCAGCTGTATAAGTCAGGAAAAGCCTCCAGCTTGATGTTTGATCCAGGAACTTTGGACTTGCCAGCTTCTGAGTGTGTGAGCCATTTTCCTAAGATAAATTTCTCTTTCTCTCTATATATAAGCTTTACTGGTTTTGAGTCTCTAGAGAACCCAGTCTAACACAATGGGCTCAAGCATAGGAAGGATTGTGAGGATGGCACAGGACTGGGCATTATTTTGTTCTGTTGTACATAGGGTCACTATGAGTCAAAGCCAACTCAACAGCACCTAACAACAACACAACCACATGTGTTCAGCTGACCAACAACTTGTTGGAGATTGTCCTGTATACAAGTACTATAAATATTTGGCATTTATAATACAAGGGAAAAAATTGATTGGGTTATATGAGAAACAGCTTCCTATATATAATAAAAAGTATTAAGTATTAAAATTTAAAAATATTAAATTTGAGAATGGTCATGGTGGAACAACATGATGAACAGATTTAATGTCACTGAACTATGCATGTGAAGATTGTTACAATGGCAAATGTTTGTTACCCATATATTTTTCACAATAAAAAAAATGTTTTTTAAGTAAATGGGAAAAATTCAGTGAACACCTAAATGTTGTTTTCACATCTGTTTGGTTGAGAAAGTCTTGAAGATAGAGTGAGAAGGCATGCTACCTGAGAAATATGATCAGAAGGGCCTCTTAGAGGAGGTGGCATTTGAACAGAGACCTGAATAGAGTTAAGGAGAAAGCTACATGGACTTCTGGTGTTCTATTCATATTCTTCTTTGATCCCTAAGTATTGGGATGTGTAATAGGTACTTATAAATATGAAGTGAGCAGGTTACTAGGAGCACTAGCAGTACTAATGTGAACCCCTCTGTGCCTCCTCTCCCTCAGGCGAGCTGCTCAGAGGATATGGGCCGATGGCTTGGCTTGCTGCTAGTGGAGATGGGCTCCCGAGTCACCCCTGAGGCACTGCACTATGACTATGTGGACGTGGAGACCTTAACCAGCATCGTCAGTGCTGGGCGCAACTCCTTCCTGTAAGGCTCTGCACCACCCCCACCCCCACCCCCACTCTGTGCCCACAATTGCCCGGGACTCTTCCCTTCCTCTGCTTCCTCTCAGAGGCTCAGAGTCCAGCCTTGAACACTGGAAGCAAGGGGAGGTAGAGCTGCAGAGACTTCCTTAGGAAGCCCAAACAGGCGCCTTCCTCCTCCATCAAGGAGTGAGCTGACTGCAGGGGTTAGTCCAATATCAGGAGGAAACTGTGGATAGAAGGAGCAAGGAGGGAAGATGCCTTGAGTCACAGAGGGACTCTGTCCTCATGTCATAGGGACTTTAAATTCTCACACCTTTGGGTATCCTGGCAGGCATGTGACCAGTATGTGGAGTTCAGCATTAGAAGAGCTGGATTCCAGTCCTAGTTCTATCACTACCAGCTGTGAAAGTTTGGGCTGGTTGCTGGCCATCTTGGCTCCTGTTCTCTCATTTATAGGTGATGACTCACCAGGTTGTGAGAATCATTTGAGAGCTTGCCTGTAAAGTCCTTAACAGTGCACTTGGCACAATGCTGCCTGCTATGGTTGCTGTTACTAATCTTCCTACATCTCATAAGAGCTGCTGCCAGAATCAAATGAGAGAGAGGTTAGGAAAACACTATACTGCAAAGTGTCGTCATCATCATCATCATCATCATCATCATCATCATCTTGTTTATTTTCTAGATATGCACGTTCCTGCCGGAATCAGTGGCCTGAGCCCCGAATCTATGATGATGTTCCTTATGAAAAGATGCAGGTACCGTCCCTTGGGCTACCCAGGAAAGTGGCTAAAGACACTAATAAGTTCATAAGCTCTATTTCTTTCCTTTGCTGCCCCTTTTTTCCTTTGCCTCAGAGAATCCCTTTTTTTTAACAGCTATAAGAAGAGTCCTTTCTTATCACACATGGTGCCTCTAGACCCAGGAATCTATGGCACAGAAGGCAGAGGAAAGAGCCCCAGATCAGAAGGAGGAAAAATTAGTTGCAGTCAAGTTGATTCTGACCCATTGCAATTGTGTCATTGCAGAACTTCACTCCTTAGGGTTTTCAATGGCTGATCTTTTAGAAATAGATCTCCAGGCCTTTCTTCCATGGAGTTTCTGGATGGACTCAAGCCTCCAACTTTTCAGTTAGCAGCGAAGTGCTTAACTGTCTGCACCACTCAGGGATTCCCAGGAGGAAGAAAGGGCTCTGTAAGGGGGAAAAAAAATATAGTTGCCAAGTTGACTCTGACTAATGGCAACCCCATGTGTTAGAACCATGTTCCATGGGTTTTAAATGGATGATCAGAAGTAGATCACCAGAACTTACTTCCAAGGTACTGCCATGTGGCCTCAAACTTCTAACATTTTGGTTAGCAGCCAAGCACTGACCATTCGAACCACCCAGGGCTTCCATAAACTGCAAGGTATTACAAAAATAGGAGGCTGGGTCAAGGTGCAGGGGCTCTCTACCTTGGTTTACTGCTTTGTGAACTGCTGCTGTTGATTTGGTGATGGCTTGGAAGCTGGCTGACTGAGAAGCCATCTCCACAGGCCTCCACCTGGTGGCATCCACAGTCTAGACTTTAGCTCAGAGGACAGAGTCTCCCTGTCTTGCTCACTAAACCAAGGAGATGCCAGTTTGTTTATTTACAGAGAGGCCTCTGTAGCCATCACATGACCTGGAATGCTCCTGGCAGCATGACCTGTTCCTTCTCCCCCTGCGGGACAGCCAGAGGAGAGCCCACATTCAGATCAGACACTGCTGGATGAGTCAGACTTCTGAGTCAGGGGAGAGGGAGGGAATCAAGCTGCCAAGGAACTAGATGTATGTGCAGGCCAGGACCCCTACTTTGGACATTGCTGGATAAACACTCCAAGCTCTCACCTCTAGGACTACCTTTTTCTACCAACTTCTTCAGCCATCCTTCTCCTATTTACATGATCTTTCTATGGAGTCACATGAACCAGTGGATGGAGTTAAGAGTTGTCTCAGTTGCAGAGTTTAGTAGCAAAATAGTTTAGTGCTTAGAGGATGTGAACTTTGGAGTCAGACACAGGGTTGAATCTGAGTTACCCTATGTTTCAGCTCTCTGGACCTCACTTCCTGGCTCTAAATGAATAAGTTAAAATCTACCTTCCAGGACTTGCAAGAGGCAAATGAAATACTTTATGTAAAGAATTTAGCACAGTGCCTGGACACTAGGAGGTCTCATACAGAGGACTCAGTATTGTTGTCAATAGCATTATTATGTTACATTGTATTATATTATACTGCATTACATTAGATTCCACCTGTGGTTTCCTGAGCTTGGACTGGAATTTGAGTGTTCTTAATATGCTTCATGCACAAATGTTTAGCCAGTCTGTTAAAGCTATATCACTTCTGTCATGGCCGATCTCATCCGTAACTCCTTTTTTTAAGGAAGATATTATATTAGCAATTCAGAAAATTTTAAAGATATTTCCAAATGATGTGAGGGGGGAAAAATTCACAGTCTTTTGAGACTTTTTAATTTTCCCTGGGTGATGCAAACAGTTAACATATTTGGCTGCTAACCAAAAGGTTACAAGTGCACCCAGAGGTGCATCAGGAGGAAGGCTTGGAGATGGACTTCTGACAAATCACCATTGCAAACCCTCTGGAGCACAGTTCCACTCTGACATGTGTGGGGTCACCCACAGTCAATATTGACTCAAAGGCGGTTGGTTGGTTGGTTTTTAATTTTGCTTTCAGCACGTGCTCCAGTTTAGGGTTAGCTACTGCTGTCCCTACAAGAAGGTGTGATTATCTGCCATCAAGTCTATTCCAATTCATAGAGAACCTATAGGACAGCATAGAACTGGTGTCGTCATCATCATCATCATCATACAAGAAGGTGTGATTATCTGCCATCAAGTCTATTCCAATTCATAGAGAACCTATAGGACAGCATAGAACTGCCCCATAGGGTTTCTAAGGCTGTAAATATTGAGGAAGCAGATCACTAGGTCTTTCTCCTGTAGAACCGCTGCATGGGTTTGAACTGCCAACCTTCCGGTTAGCAGTTGAGTGCTTAACCACTGTACCACCAGATCTTCTTATATTCCTAATGAAAATGGTTTAGAAACTATTGAGTGCTACACAGGTCTAAAGACTTAAAGCCAAGATCTAAAAGGTCCTGCAGCGCTCATCTACCCAGCAAGGACCAGAATCCAGCCCCCCCCCCCCCATTGGTGAGTCTGATTCCACTTGCCCTTCGCTTTCCTCCTCATCTCCCACCTCCAGGACAAGGAGCCTGACCGTACCACTGGGGCCCAGGTGAAGCGCCATGCCTCTTCTTGCAGTGAGAAGTCCCATCGAGTAGACCCACAGGTCAAAGTCAAGCGCCACGCCTCCAGTGAGTTCTGGGTGGGCCTCCCCTACTGAGCAGGGAGGGAATGGTCTCAAAATTAGATTCCTCCAGGGGTCAATGGATAAATAAATGAGTAAAGTGAAGTATAAGAAAAATACCATAAGCAGTATAAGCGCAGTGATAAAGGCGGTATCATGTGGCCTCGGAAAGGAAATAGAGAATGGGGTAGGGGACTGTAGGAAATGGGAATGGCCACTACTCAGTCCCAGTGGATGGTTGCCACACAGCAGTACTAGTCCACTGTTGCCATATTTGCCAGTTATTTAAAAGAGACCAGAAATCTATATTTTATATGCAATCTATTTACTTTTTTATATTGGCAATGAATAACAATTAAAAAAATAATATAACACCAAGAAAGGCCAAAAATATGTGTTTACATTTATCTACAATCTGTAGCTGTTCCAGAGGCTAACAATTTGTGGTTTCCAATCTGGGTTAATTAGTGGAGAAGTGAACCCCTCCAAATACCCTCGAGACAGCTGCCATGAAAAATGTGACTCACCTCTGTGTCCCAGACCTTAGCTCTGCCTAGCACTGTATATGTGCTCAGTGAATGCCGTGATTGACACAGTGCACAAGAGTGACTAAGTATGCCATGAAACACATGCCAGACACTCTAGTGTCAGTTATATTTGATTTACAACACTAATCTCTACTTTGGTGTAATGTATCTCTGCAAACAAGTCAGCTTCCTGTAGGACAGCATGTTCCGAATTTCTAAGACTCTTTCTATATTGCTTTACATTTCTCCCCCTGCACCAGATCAAAAAATTCTGTCCTTACCTTTTGAAGACTTGTTTTTAAAAATACTTTTCTATATTATTGTTTCATTTCATTAGTACAGATAATGACTCTGGGGAGTCAGGAGATAGTATTCCATTCCTTACTTGATCACTAACTTACTATGTAACTTTGCAAATGTCCCTTCCCCTCTCTGGGTCTGAGATTCCCCTCTAAACAATTAGAGGATTACTATGTAGCATTCCTAATGCCTACTCTCATGGGCACTAAAAATATGTTGTTGTTGTTGTTGTGTGCCATTCAGTCAATCCTAACTCATAGCAACCCTATAAAACAGAAATCTCTGTAGGCTGAAATGTTTATGAAAGTAGATCACCAGGTCTTTTCTCTATGGAGGAGCTGGTGGGTTTGAACCACCAACCTTTCAGTTAACAGCCAACTGCTTAACCATTTTGCCACCAGAGCTCCTTTTATTAGAAACATAGGACCTTAGAAATGTAGGGCCTTATGGCATGCCTATTTTGAAATGGAATACTAAACCAAAGTAAGCATGTAAGATTAAAAAATAATCACAGAATGTCAAAAAATATATAACAATAAAGACAACAAAAAACAGACCCTTTCTTCCAATAAAATCTTACACGGAAGCCCAGTTTATAAAAGAGATAAAAGTGGAGCTTTCTCTGGTTGGAGTGGGGAGGCCAAGGGACCTCTTGCTTGCCCCATGTAGTGTGACCTGTTAGCCACTGCTATAAAATCATGTTGTTGTTGGTTGTCATGGAGTTAATTCTGACTCATGGCAACCCCACATGTGCAGAGTAGAACTGCTCCATAGGGTTTTCAAGGCTGTGATCTTTCAGAAGCACATCACCAGGCCCGTCTTCCAAGGCATCTCTAGATGGGTTCAAACTGCAAATTTTTCAGCAGGTAATTGAGCACTTACCCATTGGCACCACTCAGGGACTCCTGCATATGTTTGTTATTATTGTTGTTAGGTGCCATCGAGTTGGCTCCAACTCATTGTAACCCTATGTACAACACAACAAAACACTATCCAGTCCTGCGCCATCCTCACAAACCTTTCTATACCTAAGCACATCGTTGCAGCCACTGTCGATCCATCTCATTGAGGATCATCCCTTTCTTCACTGACCTCTACTTTATCAAGCATGACATCCTTCTCCAAGAAATGGTCCCTTCTGACAACATGACCAATGTAGGTCCCATTACAAAAAAGCCTGGCCATTCTCACTTGCAGGAAGCTTTCCAGCTGCACTTCCTCCAGTACAGATTTGGATATTGTTTAGGGATATGTATGTGTGAAGGACAGTTGAAAACCACAGGAGGAAACTATTAATGTTTTTCAGATGAAGAAACTGAAGGACATAAATGGGAAGGGTCCAGCAAAGATCGCTGGATTAATTATCTATTGCTATATAACAAATTACCCCAAAATTTAAGAGCTCAAAATAATAAGCATTTATTATGTCACACAGTTTTTGTGGGTCAGGAATCCAGGAGAGGCTTAGTTAAGTACTTTTGACTTGGGGTCTGTCATGTGGCTACAGTCAAGATGTTGGTTGGCTGCTGCTATAATCATCTGAGAGTTTGATGGGCTGGAGGGTCCACTTCCAAGAGAGCTCATTCACATGCCTGATAAATTCAAGCTGGCTGCTAGAATGAGGCCTCAGTTCCTTGTCATGCAGACCTTTCCATAGGGCTGCTTGACCTTGTAGGAACTCTGGTAGCATAGTGCCTAAGGCACTTGACTGCTAACCAGAAGGCTTGTGGTTCAAACCCACCAGCCACTCCTTGGAAGGAAAGTTGGGCAATCTACTTCTGTAGTGATACCACCTCGGAAACCCAAGGAGGGGTTGTTATCAGTCGGGTCCGACTCAATAGCACATGGCAACAACAAAACAGCTTGACCTTGTGATGTAAGCGAGCTTCCACCAGAGCAAGTAATCCAAGAAGTAGCAGCAAGGCAGAAGCTACAATGTCTTCTATGACCTGGCTTTGAAGGTCACACTCTTGTCATTTCTGCAATATCCTAATGGTACATAGGTCAGCCCTATTTACTGTGGGAGGGGATTACAAAAGGGTGTGAAAGCCAGAAGGTAAGACTCATGGGGGCCAAGGACATTGTTAAGAAAAATGGCAATATGAGAAGTTCCACAAAAACCAACTCCCAGGAAAAGAATCATAACAGAAGAAAATTTTTTAAAAATTAAAGTCTCTGAAAATTGACCTAAAGAAATATAGCCAATAAAGAAACATTTATTCAAGAAAATCTGCTACATTTCAGTAATAACAATGAGCATCCCATAACCCACCCACTGCCTTCTCCAGCAAAGCATGACAGATTATTCACTCCAGGCATGTGTGGCCTTAAAGACAAAGATTCCTTTCCCCTCAGTTCCTAGTAAAGGGATATAGTATCTCCCTGGGAGGATCAGGTCCCTGCATTTCTCATTACTCCCTCCCCCAAGCTCTGTTGCAAGGCTAAATTCCATACTAGTGCAGCTGAGATGCTGGGGTCTCCCTTTCTCTGCCCAACATCCATGTATAAAACAGAGGCTCTACCCTAGGAATGGCAGACTGAGAATACTGAGACCTCAATTTCCCTCACCCAGTTCACTAGTAACCTGGAAGTTCCACACCAGGAGAGGCTAATCAAGAAAACACAAGGTTGGAGTTCCGGCCAGATGGCGGACTAGGCACAAGGACTGCACAGATGTTCTTCAACAAAGAAAAGGGAAACCAATGAACACAGACACAGAAGATAATCTTGGACCCCTGAGCCTTGAAGGGAAGGATACAAAAGTGGACTAAACCCCAACTAGCAGAAGAATTTGCATGAAAATATCAAAAAAGGAGACACACGGAGCTGCGGTCTGGCAGCAGACTGAGCGAC